CTCCTCCTCCTCCTCCTCCTCCTCCTCCTCCTCCTCCTCCTGCAAGAGGATGCAGCGAGACTCGACTGAGGGCTTCCCGCAGCCATCGATGCCAGGAGAACCCTCCAGTGACCACTCCGAGACAGCCCAGGCACTCCCAGGACACTCGCAGAGAGCCTCCAGCCCCAGAGCCCGGAGCCTGCAGGAAACCTGTGAGCCTGGGTCCCGAACGCGCTCGTGTCGCCTGTGATCGACGGCACGTTCGCGTTCGGGACCAACACCTTGACCTGCCAGCTGTGGATTTTCCACGGGCTCGCACTGGTCTGCTACAATGCTGGGATCAGCGCGTGCGAGAAGGGCGAGCAGTGGCAGTGGGCATTGGCGTTGCTGAGCGAGATGTGGGAGGCGAGGTTGGAGCCCGATGTCATGATTCTTAGCAGCGCAGGACTATCCCTACAATCTGGGTGTCTTGCGTTCGGAAGAGGTGTTTGCACAGAATGCCCCTATGGGTCCCCCAGCAGCAGCTCGGAAGATCCAGAGGCTCCCGAGAGGGCCCCAGGAGTTTCCAGGAGCCCCCGAAGATGCCTCCAGAGGGCTTCGCGAGCCCCTCAGACGGCCTCACTACAGTCGAGGCTGCTTAGTAGGCCGATCCTTCCAAGGCGGGGCTACCCTTGTGTTCTATGCTTCGCGGCCCATACCTTTGCATTCCTGTGGCAGTGTGACCCGAAGGGTCTCGTGTCCTCCCTCGTGTCCTCTTTCTCGCACTTCCCCCTCCTCGCTCGCCGCCGATCGATCCTCGATTCTCCTCGATCGCGTCCTTGCTGCGCATCCTTGTCACACGCGTGGGGGGCTGCAGCCATTGGGGCGTTCCCAAAAAGGCCCCTGCCTTCTAGGCAGCATCGTCGCCCCAGCTGGGACCATAGTAAACCACGACGTCTGGGGGTCTGGGATCGGCTCGGACGAACCCTGAGATCCGACGTCTCGGAAAAATCGAGACATCGTGAGAAATCACGACGGGAGCCCAGGACCTCATCTTTCTGTAGCATTTGTCAAGCTGGATCCACCTGTGAGGGCCCGGGGGCCCGAAACTGGAACCGCCCGGCTCGAGAAAACGCAGTCGCCAGGATCCCGTGGATTACGTCTATAGTCGACCCGAGAGCAGCTATATACCTCGTGGCCTCCCGGCCCGGCCCCGCCAAGAGGGGTCTCTCGGGGCCGCCCTGGGGCCCGCTCGGCCGGCTGGAGTGCCTCCGAGGAGTCCGAGGAACCTGCCCGTCGGCAGGGAAGGGTGGGGCCTGTCCGACTGCGCTGCCCCAAGCCCAGAGATCCAGGCATTGGAAAACTCGAGGCAGAGGTTTTATGCAACGTTCGGCCTCCAGGGGCCCTCGCTGGGCCCCAGGAACGTCAAAAACGACTCGGGGTGAAGAGCCGCCCTGGGGAAGGGGTCGAGGCTTGCTTCCGGGGACCCCGCACTGAAAGAATCACGACATCCCCTGACCTTCCAGAGAGCCATTTTTTAGCACTGCAGGCCTAAAAACCTAAAACACGGAACGAAACAATCTAAAACCAGGACGTAGCACAGCTTTGGGAGAGGCTTTTGAGTCCGGCGGTGCAATTTTGTAGCCCTCCTGGAAGGTCAGGGTCGGATCTCTGGGAGAGGGCCCCAATGACGGCCTCGCGAGGACCACTCCCGCCCGAGGGCCACCGGGGGCGCCGCTGGGGGCGCCGGGAGGACGACCCGGAGGCTCCTCGGAGGCACTGCAGCTGGCCGGGCGGGCTCCCGGACGGCCCCAGGAGACCCCGAGGGTCGGACGTCGGACGCAGCTCCTGGGAGGTCAGTTCTGATCTTGCCCTGGTCCGACATCTGGCTTCATTCAGGAAGGGAAAAAACACAGACACGAGTAATCGTCGATTCCCTAGAAAACATGGGAATTGGGCGGGACGACAAAAACCCAGAAAATATGGGAAAATATGGGGCATATTTACCTAACAGCGTAGACTGATAGGTTTCTAGTTGACTCAAAAGAGCTCACAGATCACTCCACAGGGGGGTCCGGGCAGGCGTTGGGAGTTGCCGGCCGGCAGGGTGCCGGGCCTGTGCCGGGCTCGTTTTTCACCAACAGTCACACACTTCGTGCTCGTCGACCTCTCAGAACCCCATTCCCAGGCCACATTCTGAATAACCGGATGCAACAGTCACACACTTGGTGCTCTTCGACTTCCCAGAACTCCATTCCCGGGCCACATTTTGGATGCCCGGAGCAAACTGTAGGCCACTTCGTGCTCTTCGACTTCCCAGAACTCCATTCCCGGGCCACATTTTGGATGCCCGGAGCCAACTGTAGGCCACTTCGTGCTCTTCGACTTCCCAGAACTCCATCCCGGGCCACATTTTGGATGCCCGGAGCCAACTGTAGGCCACTTCGTGCTCTTCGACTTCCCAGAACTCCATTCCCGGGCCACATTTTGGATGCTCGGAGCCAACTGTAGGCCACTTCGTGGTCTTCGAGTTCCCAGAACTCCATTCCTGGGCATGAATTTGAATGCCCGGAGCCAACTGTAGGCCATTCCCGGGCCAGATTTTGGATGCCCGGAGCCAACTGTAGGCCACTTCGTGGTCTTCGAGCTCCCAGAACTCCATTCCTGGGCATGAATTTGAATGCCCGGAGCCAACTGTAGGCCACTTCGTGTTCTTCGAGTTCCCAGAACTACATTCCCGGGCAACATTTTGAATGCTGAGGCAGGCTGAGGCTGAGGCTGAGGCAGGCTGATGCTGAGGCAGGCTGAGGCTGAGGCTGAGGCTGATGCAGGCTGAGGCTGAGGCAGCCTGAGGCTGACGCCGAGGCTGAAGGCAGACTGAGGCTGAGGCTGAAGCAGGCTGAGGCTGAGGCTGAGGCAGGCTGAGGCTGAGGCAGGCTGAGGCTGAGGCTGAGGCAGGCTGAGGTTGAGGCTGTGTCTGTGACTGCCGTTGCCACTGCGACTGTCATCGCGAATGCGACTACGACTGCGAGAACAGCACAATTCTACAACTGGATTCTCATCTGAATCTTAAAGGGAATGCTTCCAGATATGCTCCTACACATCGCTGTTAGGTTGCTTTGCCGGGATAATTTTATTTGTGTGTACTTATTTGTGTGTCCCAGGGCCCCTTCATTCATCCGGCTCAATCAGGCTTGACCCGGTTGAATCCCGCTAGATCCGCGGCCCAATCCGGCGTAACACCCCCCAAGTTCTCCTGGTGAATCCCTCCGTCGAAGACCTGCCAGCAGTTGCCTCCCAACCAAGGCGGGGCCGGGCTGGGAGGTCCCAAGGTAGCTGCTCTCGGGTCGAGTGGCCTTTCGCCGGAGGGACCTCCGCTGCGGCGGGCCTAATGGGGTCCCCCGATCGCTGAGCGCGATGCGGAGGATCTTGCGCAGCCAGGGGTGCACTGACCTGGGCCAGCGTGCAGGATGCTGCAGGATCCTGCAGGATCTTGCACAGCCTGACCAGACCGGGTTTGGATTGACCAGGGCCATCGATTCCCGATGTTGTACAGGTGCCCCGAGGCCCCTCCAGCGGCAGCAGCAGCACGAGAGCCATCAGTACAGAGGAGGAAGAGGTGTGTCGATGCCGCTACCCTTGCCTCGTTTTCGCACTTTTGGGCCTCCGGGGAGGTCCTCGTCGCCTTCGCTGGATTCGCCTCGAAATTCTGGTCAGGACGCACCCCAGGAGAGGCCTGGGGAGTAGCGGAACCAGCACCTTTTTGGCTCCCCCAAGGTGTAGCATCCGCGATCAGCCAACAACACTCGCAGAGCCAGCGCCGGCATTCACAAGCAGCCAGCGGCAGCAGGCCGAGCCGGTCGCGAGCAAGCTTGCCCTCCCAGACGTTGCGTTGCGCCGTGTGCGCCGCGCGCCTCTCTGCTGCAGGGGAGTGCGCTTGCGCACAGGGTCCCAGGTGCTTAATCCACGGGCCGTCAGCTGCAATGCCGGGATCAGCGCGTGCGAGAAAGGCGAGCAGTGGCACCGGGCTTTGGCGCTGCTCCGCGAGATGTGGGAATCGAATGCTGAGCCGGATTTCACTTCAGCGGCACGAGAAACACCGGGTCGTCTGCGCCGACACTGGCGCGTGCGCTGCCCGCGCAAGGTCGCGCGTGAGCTCCCTCGCTCCAAAATTTTGGCATGCCGCGCCAGCAGCCCGCGTAAGCCACCGCGTCAGGTCGCTTCTGTCATTTCGGGTAAGAGCCGCTTTTGATCGTCGCCCACCTGTGCATTCTAAGGCGGGGGGGCTGCAGGAACGGCGGGCGCCCAGGTGGGCACACAACGGGCCCGCCGGCCCCAGCGCGCCCCTGGGCGCCCACGGGACGACCCAAGACGGGCCTGAAGGGCTCCAACAGAGCCCAAGAACGCCCTCCCCCCCAAGGCGGCCCGAGATGGCCCAACAGGCGCAGAGCACGCCCTGAGAAGCATTCACACGTACCCCTGAAAGGGCCTCTGGTAACAATGATTGATTACCTAACAGCGAAGACTGATAGGTTTCTAGTTGACTCAAAAGAGCTCACAGATCACTCCACAGGGGGGTCCGGGCAGGTGTTGGGAGTTGCCGGGCGGCAGGTGCCGGGCTCGTTTTTCGCCAACAGTCACACACTTCGTGCTCTTCGATTTCCCAGAACTCCATTCCCAGGCCACATTCTGGAGGGCCGAATGCAACAGTCACACACTTCGTGCTCTTCGAGTTCCCAGAACTCCATTCCCGGGCCACATTCTGGAGGGCCGGATGCAACAGTCACACACTTCGTGCTCTTCGAGTTCCCAGAACTCCATTCCCGGGCCACATTCTGGAGGGCCGGATGCAACAGTCACACACTTCGTGCTCTTCGAGTTCCCAGAATTCCATTCCCGGGCCACATTTTGGATGCCCGGAGCCAACTGTAGGCCACTTCGTGCTCTTCGAGTTCCCAGAACTCCATTCCCGGGCCACATTTTGAATGCCCCGAGCCAACTGTAGGCCACTTCGTGATCTTCGAGTTCCCAGAATTCCATTCCTGGGCATGATTTTGAATGCCCGGAGCCAACTGTAGGCCACTTTGTGTTCTTCGAGTTCCCAGAATTCCATTCCCGGGCCACATTTGTTCTGCTGAGGCAGGCTGAGTTCCCAGAATTCCATTCCCGGGCCACATTTTGAATGCTGAGGCAGGCTGAGGCTGAGGCTGAGGCAGGCTGAGGTTGAGGCAGGCTGAGGCTGAGGCCGAGGCTGAAGGCAGACTGAGGCTGAGGCTGAAGCAGGCTGAGGCTGAGGCAGAGGCAGGCTGAGGCTGAGGCAGGCTGATGCTGAGGCAGGCTGAGGCTGAGGCTGAGGCTGAGGCTGAGGCAGGCTGAGGCTGAGGCAGGCTGAGGCTGAGGCTGAGGCCAAGGCTCAAGGCAGACTGAGGCTTTGGCTGAAGCAGGCTGA